CATTGAACAACGACGTGTAAAACGTTTTTACCTAGTACGATTATTAAAGGGTGCTGCATCTGATTTGTTGTAAGAGCATTCCCAGTATTGTGTTTTCTCTCTGACTAGAGCTAGATTCAGTCCTCCCGTCTCAGTGGTTTGTTAGGGGAGTGGGGGGAATGTGTGTGTTAGATTTTCCTCTCCTGCCTCCTTTTTTGGTAAGCCAGAGCATTGGCTACATGCAGCTCGAGGGCAGGGAGCAGGGGAGGAGTAATTAAAGTGAAAACAAATAAACCCCATTCCTTGCATTATGACTGTATTTTCTAAGGGCAAAAGGTTCTTTAATTTGGCCTGGTTTATTCCAGGAACACTAATGGAAGTGTGGACAAACCCCAGCCCTGCTGTCAACTGTTGTACCAGCTGCAGTCCCTGCATGTAATATAAGCTTCATAAAATGAAATAAATCTCCTTTGTAAGATAACGTGTGTGCTTTCTTTGAGCCCCAGGGCCTGGTGTCAGCCTGCCAAGGCAAAGAGCATCCTCAGTCCCTGGAAAATACCCCACTGAAGTAGTGAAACCAGCAACAGTGTTTAAGGGTGGGCTGGATGAGGGCTCGAATGGGGAGGTGGCTGTTCTGTGGCTGCCTCCCACAGCAAGGGGAGCTCCACGCACTGATCAGTGTCTGAGTGCAGGCCTTCAGCTGTGGGTGCTGTGGCTGCACTGCCTCTCCCTGCAGCTTCCCTGCTCATCCAGCAGCAGGGAAGGGGTTTGGGGCAGGCTTAACTGAACACACTGTGAGTACCCCAGTGGTGCTGGGTCACTGAGTCTCACTCAGGTCTTAGCTAATCATGGGTGTGAGTCTGAGAGCCTCACGCTGTGACACAGTTGGCACTTGGTCCAGGAGCGGCTCCGTGGCTTCGTGTGGTGCCTGCTGGGGCCGGTGCCAGCGCTGGCTCCTGCTGCTCTCTGCCAGCAGCACTCAGCGTGCTGCGGTTTCACAGCGAGGAGGAGCCTTGGCCCACCTGTGTCGTGCGCTCCCCCGCAGTGCCCAGGGACCCGGGGTGAGGAGCAGCCCTGGGTGCCCTTTGTCCTGCTTGAGGAAGGAAAACTCCTCTCCAGCCCTTCACTGCTGGAAACTGCTCATCTGGAGCTGGCTCCTCCAGTCGGCCGTGGGACCTTGCTGCACGGGCTGCACCTCCTGGCCTTTGTAAGAGTTCATTTACTTGGTTGTAAGTGTTTTCCCTGGCCCTGCAGTGCCTGCGAGCCAGCAGCGGGATGCTGCAGCCCGGCGCCTTCCCAGGCATCATCATTCAGAGGCAGGGCTCTGGAGGAGCATCTCCTGTGCATGGAAATGATGAACTTGGAGGGGGAAAATGAACCTCCCGTGAAAGCTCCGTGCTTGGCACCGGCCGCGAGAGGGCACCCGTGAGCGCTGAGCTGGGAATGGGTTGGAATGGTTCGTGTTGCAGGAGTAAACCGCTTGCGGGGCGGAGAGCGGCAGTGAGGCGCTGCGCCTGGAAGGAGAGAGGTTTCCGGCGGCAGTCTCTGTCTCTAGCTGGCGGCGACGCTGCTTCTGACCCGCTCGGTATCGCCTCGATGGTCGCAGACAGATCTCGCCCTGGAGTGTGAGAATTTAATGGGCAGTAAATGCCGGTTGTGTTAATGTGTAGCTAATAATGGAGATACGGCTCTGTGAGGCTCCAGAGTGCCCTCGCTTGTTTGAAAAAGTATTTCAGGGGGAGCGAGCAGCGTGTTTTGGAGAGAGCTGACCTCGTTTGTCTGTCCCAGCTCGGTGAACCTCGGGTGCTAACGGGAGCCAGATCTCCTGCATGAGGACTTTGGTTATCTTCCGAGGGAGCCTGATGGCAAATCGGGTGATGGGGGGCGATGGAGGAGGTCGGGCGCGTTCCCGAGGGCTGAGGGACGTGTGGGACCCTCTGCAGGGGGTGCTGATGGAGGTTGCAGAGCCAAGACGCCTCCAGGGAGCCGGGGGGGGTGAAAGCTGATGAGGAAGCAGCGGTTTGGGTTTCCGTTTCTCCTCAGGGCTGATGAGCTCAGCACAAGCCGCGCGGCTGGGGTTGGCGCTGGTGGGGTTTGGTGCTTGGCCAGCCCTCGCCCAGGCGCGGGGGTGAAGCTGCCCTCTCGCAGCCTCTCCCGGTGCAGGGTCTGGGCTCCCACCTGCAGCAGGAGCCGTGCCCCTGGGGAGCAGCGCTGGAGCGGGAATTTCCTGCATCTTCGCGGAAGGAATCTGGGTGTGAAGTGTCCTGGAGCCGCAGAGCCAGGGGTGCAGAGCTCTCTCGAAGCCCTCAACCCGCTTCCTGCCTCGCCTTTGGAGCTGGGGAGCGGGGCCGAGGCCCTGACCCATCCCCTGCAGGCAGCGCTGCGGCGGAAGCGTCCCGGTTCCTCCCGCGGGGCCGCGCTGGGCCGTGCCCCAGCTCCCGGCCGTGCTGGCTCCGCTCCGAGCGCGGGCTCAGCGCAGGCGGGGGCCGACAGAGCCGGGGCCGGGCCGAGCAGCCCCGCTGGCCCCCAGGGCTCCCCCGGCGGGACGGAGCCCTCGGAGCGCCCCAGCCTCTTGCTCGTCGGAGCGCGTGCGAGCACCGAGCCAGGAGCTCATCGCGCTGGGCCGGGGCCAAGCCCCAGCACAAGCAGGTGCTCTGCAGCCTCCCCGTGCCGCCGCCACCGCTGCTGCTGTCCCCGGGGCTCGCCGGCTCCTGGGGCACCGCCAGCACCGGGTCCCCTGAGGCCTCGTCCGTCCCTCACTGTCCCGGCCGCCAAGGCCCGAACCCATCTCCCTGGCACGGAGGGGGCTGCCCGCATCCTCCCCACCGCGATGCCACCCCCAGCGTCCCCCCACGACCAGGGCGCCAGGCTGAGGCTTTGCTCCGGTGCCGGGCTCGCCCCCCTCCCGCCTGCCCCGCTCCCAGCCCGCGGCCCTGCAGCCGCATACCAGGACTGCAAAACTTACTGGAAATCCTGTGGATGCAAATCCCGGCCTCCCGCCCGTGCCAGGAACCGGAGCTCAATCCCGAGGGGGCAGCAGGCTCTGAGCACGCTGCCTCCCCGCTCGCCACCGCCCGGCCTCGGGAATCCTCTTTAGCTCCGCATGGGAAGGATGCTCTGCGGGACCCCGGGGTGGCTTCCCAAAACCTCCACCGGTTCTGACGGAGGGGTCAGCACCGTGCAGATTCAGGCTCCCTGGCTCCATCCCAAACCCTCCCCACCCCAGGATGGATCGTGGTTCCCAGGGTTGTGAGGCAGGGGTGGGCATTAATGTGGTGACCCCCAACCCCATGGCCCCAAAGCGGATGCAGCGGGGAGGGCAGCTGGTGGTGACGAACCCTCTCCCCTAACTCATGAGCAGCTCTCGGACTCCGGCACAGTTTAGAGAAGTGACGTCTTTGTTTAAAACGGAATCCTTCAGCAGCTCCTCACCCACAAACAGCTCCGCCGGTGCCTCCCCGGGACACCAGCCTGGATGTTCCCCATCCAGCGGTGGAGCACAGCAGCAACGAAACAACTCCACAACCGCCCCGACTCCTCTCCAGCAAGGGCCCACCTTGGCCGCAGTCCTTTCCAGGTCACCTTCCCTCTGCCCCCGCCGCAGCCCGGAGGCTTTAATCAATCACCAGGTGAAACCTAAACCTTGGGCATACGCTGAACCGAAGGCAGCCGGTGAAGGTCAAGGTGCTCCCGCTGCCGGGGCCGAGGCGTTCCGGGGGCACCCTGAGCTCAGCCAGGGCCATGGTCCAGGAGCTGCGTTCCCAGCAGAGGGGGTGAGGGCAGGAGGGGAGCACAGAGGAGACCCCGCAGCTTCCCTGGGGAGAACTGGGCTTGGATTCACAGGATCGCAGCCTCCATGGACACGGCTCTCGCTGCAGTGGGGGCCGAGTGGCAGCAGGATGGGGCAGCATCCTGGGAGGGGATGCGGGCTGGTTCCTGGGGCGAGTTTCACCAGCACCAGTCCCTGTGCACCAGTAAATAACATTTGCTGTTGTCTATTAAAATAACCTCTTTATGGTGCGGTTCCCCAGAGCTCCCCAAGACCGCAGTGCTCAGAGGGCCCGTGCCAGGATCTCCAACACCACGTTAAATAATTCACCAACCAAAGGCTTTAGGTTGCTCTGCTCTGAGCCCTGCGGGGGTGGGGGGACCCCGCTGCTGCAAAGGTGCAGAGGGTGCACGGGGACAGCAGGGACGGGACTCCTCTGCCCCTGGGTTGCTTGGGAAAGGGACTCCCAGCACCTGCCTCAGTTTCCCCAGTGGTTAATGGGAGGCTGTGTGGAGGGGCATCAGGCAGATGGGAAAACCGCTGGGAAACACACCTGTAGGTATTTGGTGTCCCTCTAAACCTCGGTGTGCCCAGGAATTCCTGGCCCCTGAGCAAAGGAAAGGAAAGGGGTGGCCTGGGCTGGGGTACTCTGTGTCAAGCAGCAGGGGGGGGGCGTCGGTGCCAGCTGCCCCATGGAGCTTGTGCCTGGGGTGCTCCAGCCAGAGATCTCTGATGCCATGGGGTTTGGGAAGCTGAATCCCAGGGTGCTCCAAACCGCCTGATTTGGGATGCTCATTCCCGAAGTGCTCCACACCCCCTGGTTTGGGATGCTTGCTCCATGCCCCATGGCTTGGGATACTCACAGGATGCTCCGCACCCCGTGGTCTGGGATGCTCACTCCCGGGGTGCTCCACAACCGTGGCCGGGGCTCGCTGCCCGCTGCTGGGGGGCAGCAGAAGTCCCCGCTCCCCAGTACCCTCACGGGGAAGGGTCCCGCAACCGGACCGGAGCTCCCACCGGGGAAACCGATGGAGGCGGCCCCGCGCTCCTTCTCCCCCCACCTCCAGCCCCGTCCCGGCGGAGCCCCGGGGGCGGGGGCCAGGTACGGCGGGGCGGGCCTGCCCCGCGGGGGAGGGCCCGGCGGCGGGCAGCTAAAGGCAGGTGGCACCGGGAGCGGGACCGGGGCGCGCCGCGTCCAAAGGAGGAGCGGCGGCAGCGCGGGGGGGGGGAATGCAGCGGGCGGCGGTGCCCTGAGCGGGGCCGCGCCATGGCCGGGGCGGAGGGCGGCGGGGAGCGGCGGGCGGTGCTGGCGCTGACCGCGGTGCGCACCGAGGGCACCGGGCAGCCCGGCGGGACCCCCCCGCCCCGCCGCCGGGGGCTGCCGCCGGGGCCGCGCCCCGGGGCCGCCCCCCGCCCCGCCGGGTCCCCGCGCTGCTGCCGCCGCCGCCTCCAGAACTGCCTGTACAACGTGCTGGAGCGGCCCCGCGGGTGGGCCTTCGTCTACCACGTCTTCATGTGAGTGCCGGCGGGCGGGGAGCGGCGGGCAGCGGCGTCCCGGGACTCCCGGTCCCGGGGGAACGCGGGGTCGGGCGCTGCTGGTGCCGGTGCCCGAGGGGAAGGGAGCGCGGGGAGCCGCGGGCAGGGGTGGTTCCGAGCGAGCCCCGCACCGAGCTCCGGCTCCCGAGCTCCACCGGAGAAGTTTCTCCGTGTTTTGGTGGCGTGGAAGCGCCGCCGGTGCCGGTTCCAGCCGCTCGTCCCGGTAGCGGGGTCGGAGCGGTGGGAGCAGCGCGCTGCAGGATCCCGGGGGGAGGGCGAGCGGGGACCGAGTGGATCCGTGGCACCGGCTCCGGTTGCGGGGAACTGAGCGCGTCCCGGGGGATGGGACCTGGTGTCCCCGGTGCAGCGAGCCCCTTCCCGGCGGCACCGGCGCGGAGCTGGGCCACATCCCGCTGCCCCCCTCGGCTGCTGCCGGGTTCTCTGAGCCTTAAAGGCAGAGCTCCCCACCGGCTGACCGCATAGATCCGGGTGGGAAGAGGCTCCTCGTCCTGTTGTGTACCTGGAGTGCTGGGACGGCAGAAGTGCCAGAGCCCGGCACCCCCGGAGCTGTGCCGGGATGGGACGGAGGAAGGTGGGGAAGCGGTGTCCTTGTCCCTGCAGCCGCTGGCTGCTGTACCCCAAGAGCTGTGCCCATTCTTGGGTCATGGCCGCTGTCAATCCCCTGCACTTTATCATCCCTCTCCAGCGATGGAGCTTGGGATGCTCCCAGGGCCCCACCTGCTCCCTGCCCTGGCTCCATGCAGTTTGTGTCCCTGCTCGCTGGACAACCCATGGGTTTTGCAAAGAAGCTTCTCCACGACGCGCAGCTCAGGGCTAAGTAACAAACTCAGCCCTTTGGGGTTGCTTTGAGAGCTGGAGAAGGGATGCGGAGCTGGGGTACCCACAACGCCCCCAGGGCTGAGGGGAGGCTCCATGCTGGGTGGGGGGTGTACTGGATGCTCCAGCCCAGGACTGCACCGGACACTGCAGGGACACCCCTGCAGCCATGGCGGGGGAAGTGGTTTCCCTCTGTGTGCTTGCGTGCGCAGACCCCTGTGCCACCGTGAGCCAAGCCTGCCTCCTGCCCTCCCCTCCGAGCTGGGCCGTTACCGGGGTGCCGGAGCTCATTAGGAGGCAGCAGAGCGGGTCCTGCCGAGGTGAGCACATCGGGGTGGCAGGATGAATTAGTCACTGGCTGAGAGGGCACCTCAGCTCCCGGGGGAGCGGGAGAGGAGCTCGGGGGCCATTTGTAACGCCTGCCCTGAGCTTCCACAAGAATCCCTACGCTGCAAATCCTGCCCTCAAATGAGCTTTTCCTGCAGGGAATTAACGATGGCAGCGAAAACCTCCCGCTGCAGGAGGGGGACCAGACTCTTTGGTGTAGGTGCTGGAAGAGAGATGCCCTCATCTCGCAGTTGAGACTCATGTGTCCTAGCGTCCTCCACTAGTTCCTCCTCCCAACCTGTGCATGTTTTGCCCCAGGAACAGCCACATCAGACCTGTCTGCTCCCATCACCGGGCCCCAGGTCCCTCCTGCACCAGGCTGTAGGGGACGGTCATTGCTCTGTGGGGGCAAGAGATGCCCGGTCTGCAGCAGGAACAAAGCCTGTGGAGCACTCGGAGGATATGGGGTTGCGTCACTCGCTGGGTTCACAGCCGGGAAGGTGACGCAGTGGGTGCAAGATGTGGGTGAATGTTCCGTGAAGCCGTTTGCTGTCAGCGTGGCTCATTTCTGGCTCCCCAAAGTAGCCGTTTCTTCTGTGTGCAGCAGCGCAGGGCAGTGTTCTCAGGAACTTGGGTGCCTCAGGACGTGAGCCCTGAGTGCCAAGGAGAGGAGGGAGGTGTTACCCCTGCGTGAGGGGAGACCGAGGCACGGGGGAGAGGGAGCCTGAGCTCAGGGCCATGCTGAGGGCTGAGCGCTGCCTGGCTCCATGGGGCTGAGAGCTGTTAGGATGGGAACACCTGCTGATGAGCAACGCGCTTCCCTCCCCGGAGCAGTCTAACGGCAGGAGCACGGAGCAGGGGTGAGCTGGTACCGTTTAAAGGACAAATCCAGTCTCTCTTGGTTGGAGAATTGATCCCAAATAGCTTCCTGTGCCCAGCACTTGGGGCTGGGCTGATGCCGAGTGGTTTGGTGGCTTCACAGTGTCTGCAGCCCCTGAGCTGTGCTGGGCTCTGGCCCGATGGGCTCAGAGCTGCTGCTGGGGCTTCACGGCCCCTCAGGGTCCTGTGCGGGGCATCCCTGTGCGTTCCCATGCTGCAGCCTTTGTAGGATGGGGACGATGTGAATGTGGGTGCCCGTGCAGGGACCGAGCCGTGGCTGAGGTGTGTGGTGCTGACTGGGCAGCACCATCCCCTCTAACCCTGTGCTGACCATGGACGCGTGGGGTTTCAGAGCTGTGCCTTGTCCTCTTGAAATCAGTTTCCAGCCCTGGAGCTTGCAGAGCAAATGCAGGAGCGTGACCAGTGCATTAACCTAAAGGCTTTAGAGCCAGAAGGCAAAATGAAAACTTCCTTTCCCAATCCCTTTCTCTTAAGCCAAGGGGAAGGCTGTTCTCGTACCCAGTTCCTGCTTTGTGCTGTGCATGGGGCTGTTGGGGACCCACTGCAGGCTTCTGCCCTTGGCACAGGCAGCACTGCCAGCCCAGCCTGGTGCTGCCCGGCCGTGGGCTGTCCCGCAGCTGGGAGCTGCACTGGACAGGTTTCAGTTCGAGCTGTTCCTGCTGCACTTTGAGGCTTCTCCCTGCAGCCGGGCTCGCTGGGGCCATCTGCCAGCCCCCCCCCCCCCCCCCCCAGCATGGTCCCCAGGGGGCTCCCTGATGGGAGCCAGGGTCTGGGAGCTGGTGTCGATGGTTATGAAACCGCTGGGTGCACCAGAAGCGCAGCTCAGCACTTCCCCGGTTCCTAGAGGAACGCTTTAATGAAGAACAGCTTCTGGAGCAGATTAGGGAGCACTGAGCTGGCAGCACCGGGAACAACCCGCAAGCCCCTGCCTGCCACCCTCACCTCACTGGGTGCCGCTGGGTTGACTTGGTGTCATTGCCTTTGTGGAAGTGTCACCGTGTACCCGGGGCAGGGAGAAGATGAGAGCACAGAGCCTGGGGGTGCTCGTGGCACCCTTGCTCTTGCATTTGGTGCTGTCAGGTCCCCGGGTGTGTTTTGGGAGCTGGGTCCTGGGGCAGCCCTGGCACTGGTTGAGCAATGCCAGGCACCAGCACTGGGCTCTCCTCACTCGGAGCCATGGGGATCCCAGCTGGCAGGGACAGAGGGTGCTGATGGGCACAGGGCAGCAGTTGGCAGGTCCCCCCCAAGCACTGGCCGGGGACCAGGCTGCTGACAGCAGGTCTGTCCCTGAGCTTCCCGGTGCTCCGGTCCTGCTGTGGTCCGGCTGAGGGCTGTGGTGTGCAGGAGGGGTCTGTTGTCCCTGCTGCAGGGAGGAGGGCTGTGGTGCCGTGCTCCCCTCATCTCGCCGCATCCCTCCATCACCACTTGGGCAGTGAGAGGGCGCTTTCCCCGCCAGGCTGGCCGTTGCTGCCATGGTCGCTGTCTGCAGCAGCTCCATCCCAACCCTTTGCCAACCCATCCGGGGCTGTTCCATGGCCCAGAGGGGTTGCAGGAAATCTCTTCACCCCTTGCTCTGGGTTGTAACGTGCCATCACTGCATCTCCCGCAGGGGCTGGTGTGGTTGGTGGCCTCCTGCTGTGCTGCTGCTCTTGTATGGCCCAGAGAAAAGGGGTTGGGGAGGCTGTGCCCTGAGCAGGGGTCCTGCTCGCGGGGCTGGCTCTGCTCACCTCCCCGGGCTTGAAACGGGAGCTGCATTTGGGGGACACGCCAGCGGGAGGAGAAGCAGGCGCAGCACTTCCCAGCCTGCTGCGGTGTCACCAGGGCATAAAATTAAGAGACTTTGGCGCAATATGAAACTGGGCATTGATTATTTTTCTTTTTTTTCCCCTTTCCGCTCTTGCTGCTCCTCAGCTCGGAGCAGGAGGTGCCAGTTTGGGTACCTGAGGATGGGGGATGCCCCACTGCTGCGGGATGCAGAGGTGATGTTCAGCAGCACTCCGTGTGGATGAAGGTTGGAGTGGGGCTGAGCTAGTGCCTGGGCCTGACCGTCTGTCTGCTCATGGGTGCTTCTGCCCTCTGTGCAGTGCACTTGGGGTCTCAGCCTGCCTCGACTTCTTGGGGCTCTCCATGCACCTGTCCCCCAAAGCTCCCCATTCCCTGTGGAGTCCCTGGGTGCTGGAGCTGGGGGCAGCCCCAGTCCCTCTCCGGGGGCTCAAAGCCCACGACGCACTGAAGGTGCAGCTGAGAACACGCTGGGTTCCCTTTGCCCTCCTTAAGCCAGCTCCTTGCCAGATGATTCAAGAGCAAAACTATCTCGGCCGCTCCGTGTGAGCATCTTGGCACTGTGCGCAGGAGCCTTGTGACCGAGCTCCCCGTGGGGACAGTGAAGCGGGGTGATGGGAGTCACAGGGGGGTGCAGACTGGTGCAGTGCGAGGGCGATGGGTGATGCTGTCCGCAGGCTTTGGCTCCTGCTTGTCAAAGCACAAGGACGCTGGGGCCATTGGCTGCTGCGTGCCTTGGGATGTCATCTGGAGCTGCTGCTGTGGGTGCTGCTGGGCGGCAGGAGAAGGTTTGCAGCCCGCTCCTCATCCCAGCCCTGCTTTTAGTCTGCATCAGGGTGCTGGAAAGGCGCTGTCCTGCTGCACCTCTGGCTCTGGGGTGAGGAGGGCACTCAGAGCAGCACGTTCCTTCTCCCATTGACAATAACCAGGCCGTGGACCCTGCTCTGAGCATGTGCTGGGGTTGGCAGTGCCGGTGCCGCAGCGGTGCTGGGCTGGCTCCTGGCTCCAGCTCCGGTTTCCCTGACCGTGGGGAAGGGCTCGGTGCTTTGCTGCTGCTCTGCAGCGCGGGACGGACCCTGTGCCATGGTTACGGGCGCAAACAGGCCCAGTACACCCGGTTATTTATATCCCGCGGGGCAGACAGGCCGCCTGCTCCACCTCTGCCCATGGGCTGCTGCGCAGAGGGATGGGGATTTATAAACTGTGTTTATGCAGCTGCAGACGGTGCTCGGGGAGCTGAGCCTCTGGGCTGGGGAGGCTGGAGAGCAAAGCACGATCTGCGTCCTCATCCCCATCCCACTGCAGCTGGGCTTGGCCGCTGTTGGTCCAAACAGCCAGAAGAAACCTGGAGAGGGGTTTTGGACAAGGGATGTATGGGGAGGACCAGGGGTAATGGCTTTAAACTGTGAGAGAGATTTCGAGTAGATACTGGGAAGAAATTCTTCCCTGTGAGGGTGCTGAGGCGCTGGCACAGGGTGCCCAGAGAAGCTGTGGCTGCCCCATCCCTGGCAGTGTTCAAGGCCAGGTTGGACACAGGGGCTTGGAGCAAGCTGCTCCAGTGGAAGGGGTCCCTGCCCATGGCAGGGGTTGGAGTTGGAGGAGCTTTGAGGTCCCTTCCAACCCAAACCAGGCTGGGATTCCGGGGTTCCCACAGTGGCATAGCAGTGGGTACAGCCCGGGTGGGCACTCAGCACTGCTGCCAGCACCGGGATGGGGTCAGGTTTGGCAGAGAAGGGAGCTGTGCCGTTGGGAGGAGGCTGTTGCTCGCTCATCCCCTGGCTGAGCTGTTTATCCTACAGCACGTGGTGTTTTCCTTCTGCTGAGTTATCGCTGGGCTCACTGTGGGCCTCCCTTATGCTGCCTGCGCAGGGGGAGAGTGAAACGGGGTCTGGGCCAGCCCTGCTGGGACACAGGGGTGCCCAGTGTCACCCCTGTTCCAAGCCTGGACACTGGCTGCTTGCTGGGGCTGGGGCTGCAGCTGGGCTGCCCTGTGCCATCCCATCCCACTGCACGTGCTCTGAGCATCACGGTCCCTTCACTGACCGTGGTGCCGTGGCACAGCTTCTCCCGGGCTGTACCAGGCTGCAGCCCAGGGGTGTCTGGGTGGGCACTGGGTGCTGGTTGCTGCCCCCATGCCCAGCTCTGCTCCTTGCTGACCTGGCCCCACTTCCCTGTGCTCAGCAGCTTTCCCAGCTCACCTGGATCTCCATTGGCATCACGCTGCTGGGGTGGGCAGCAGCATATGGCAAAGTCCATTGTAATGAAGATTAATGGGAGGAGATTCGCCTGCTCCAAGCCAGGCCCCCCATCGAGTTTTAATTATTCTGGGGAGGAATGTTCCTGCAGCCAGGCTCTGCTCCCGCTGAGGTGAGAGCAGCCGGAGGGATCCCATCCTTGTGTCCCCTCCTGTATGGGACATGTGGCGGTAGGAAGCTGTGTGGATGGTGGTGGGAACCCCTCGGGGAGGGGGCTGCTGGGAGCTGGGAAGTTTAATTGGGGAGAGCTGATGCATCGGCTCAGCAACAACAGCATCTGCTCCCTGCATCCCATGGGATGCTGGCTCAGGGGAGCAGGGAGGCAGCGAGGATGCTGCTGGCTCCTGCCCCACCATCTCTGCACCATCCCCGTGTTCCCTGGTGCTGCTCCTGGGTTCTTGGCCTCACTTGGTGGGTGGGAAGCCTGGCACTGCTGGCATCACTGCCTTCAGGCATCTGACCCTCTCGCTAAGCTGCTTACGCATTGCCGGCAGTGGGACGGGGCGTTTGCCCAGGCTTATGATTTAATTCCAAGCAGGTGATGTGTTCCCAGAGTTTCTTTCCCAGCCTGCCCCAAGGGGCCTCACATGCCTGTATCCTCCACCAAATCCTGTGAGATGCCGGGGGCCGGGTGGAAGGTGTCTGCAGCACGGGTTTACCAACCAGCCCCATTGCTCATGGTGAGAAGTGGGGGCCTCAGCTTGGTGCTAACTGTGATTTGCTGCTCCCCAAGGCAGGGTCACCCACAGCACATCCCATGGGAGCAACATCCCAGGTACCGAGACCCCCACTTTCCTGCTCCTGGCTGGGGTGAGAGGGACAAATCTTTGCAGGCTGGGAGATTCCTGCCTTTTCTGCTTCGCTGCCCATGCAATTGCCTGCTAAGTCCCGACTGTGTGATCCTCACTGCTGAGGTCCTGCTCACCAGCTCTGGGGCTGCTCCTCAGACCACGGTGCCTGGGAAGCAGCAGCCGGCAGCGTGCTCCCTGCCCGTGGTCCCCCTGCCCGCTGTGCTGGCACGGGCAGGACAGGGGCTTCATGTGCCCGGCTGTGCCATCGGCTGCTGGAGGAGTTAACGCAGAACTGCTGTGCTGGAGGAAAGGGGCTCTATTAATAATTCAGAGGGAGAAGGAACTGGCTCCAGCCTCTGCCTTGCAGATGGGCAGTGCCTGGGAGAGGAGCCTCGTCCTCTGCAGCGAGGGCAGGGTGGTGTTTAGCCTGCGGTACCCTCAGCCCCATCCTTCCTGTAACTCGCTTATGGTGTGTTGCTCCGGTTCTCCCTTTTCCGTGCTCTGGGTCCAGCCTTTCTCCTGTTTCCCGGGGTTTCTCTTCCATCAGTCCCATCTCCTGTTTCCCCTCCTCGTGGTTTTGGGGAAGGGGACCTGCCTGTCCCCTTCAGGCTGGGGTTTGAGCTGGGTGCTACCCCCTTGTCTGGGTGTGCAGAGAACACAGAGCAACCTCTCCTCTCCCCTGCATCAACCAGGGTCTCCCCCCATCAGTGGGGCAGGGATGCTGGTCAGGTCTGGTTTCACCCCTCAGCTGGTCCAGGTCTGGCTCTAAATTCCATGTCAGCAACAAGAGGAGATGGGAGCGGGGTCCCAAGTGGGTGCCCCCCACACCATTGATGGGTCCCATGGGCACTGGGGAGATGGTGCTGGGTAGGCAGGGTGGGTGCTCACCCGCTTGAGGACATCGTGCCAAGGCTGCCTCACTTGTCCTGCCGGCCTCACCCCGTCCACCCTGGTGCTACCAGTGCCCGGTGCCCCCAGTGCCATCCCGGCGCCGGCTCTGGCAGCGGTGGCCCATAGCGCGCCATCACGTGGCTGGTGGCACAAACCCTCCTATTTCTATTTTTAGAATCGCTGGATCAGGGGAAAAAATGTATTTTTGGAGTTTCATTTGCTTCAGCTTCAGTCTCTTTTCTTCCCCCCCCTTCTCTATTTTAAATGGGCCAAAGCCCCTTGTGCCTTAAGCTAGCTCTCAGGAATGGATCCCCTCAGTGGCAGTGATGCTGGGAGCTGTCAGGAGAAGCTCTGGTCCCTGTTCTGCAGCAGCAGCACCCTGCTGTGGTGCAGGACCCCTGTCTTCCCTCCCTGCCTTTAATTAGTGGTTGTTTTCCCTGGGCAAAGGCTGCAGCAGAGGCTGGCGCTGAGCCATGAGGCTGCTGGAGCCTGGTCCTCCTCCTGCTGCTGCCCAGGGATGTGCGGGTGCCACACAAGGCTGGTCCCCATCACATGGGGGGACCAGTGGGAGTGATGTCAGGGGGGGCATCATGCATCGAGCCCATGCCCGGGGTTGCACAAGGGGGTCCCCAGTGTGAGCAGCCTGCCCTGATGCCCACATTGACCTGCTCTCGTTCCAGATTCCTCCTTGTCTTCAGCTGCCTGGTGCTGTCGGTCTTCTCCACCATCCAGGAGCACCAGAAACTGGCCAACGAGTGCCTCTTCATCCTGGTAAGTGGGGAGCAGGGCTGTGCTTGGGGTGTGTCCGTGTTCCCCCCGTCCCTCCCCCCCATTACGCTCTAAAAGACAAGATCACAGACAAAACCCCTCCAACCCCTTCCCAGCCCAGATATCACTATTGGTCATTGGTGTTAGTGACAGGAGCTGTCAGCTCAGGAAGCCCCACCGCTGCCACTGGTGCAGACAGGTACAAACGGCTGGAAAAGGCAGGGCAGGAGGGGCTAAAAAAGGCAACTTTCCCCCAAACTGTCACAAAGAGCTGACGCCGGAGTTCTCCCGAGTGATGGAGACTAAATTGGGAAGGTCCTTGTGACTTTCCACGAGTAAGCAGTGTGTGAGAGGCAGGAGGACAATGCTGACGGTGGAGGAAAAGGACCCAGCTCGGTACGAGCTTGGCACAGGCAGGAGCCGGGGCTGCTCACACAGGCTCGGCGCCTGCGGCTCCCGTCTCGCTGCCCTGATTCCCTGGGGATGGCTTCAGGCGTGGTTGTGTCAGGGCGACACCATTCTCCCTCCTGCACCCTCAACACCTGCATTTCACTTTGCCCCCCCCAAAGCCGAGTACCCCCCACCTCACCCCCGTGTCCCTCTTTTCCCCCGGCAGGAGTTTGTCATGATCGTGGTGTTCGGCATGGAGTACATCATCCGTGTGTGGGCCGCCGGCTGCTGCTGCCGCTACCGCGGCTGGCGGGGACGGTTCCGCTTCGCCAGGAAGCCCTTCTGCGTGATAGGTACCGGGATGCTCGGGGTGGGAGCGCTGGGACGCGGGGAGTGGCAGCGTCAGCCCCTGCTGCGGATGGTGGGGAAACCTCTGCTTGTCCCCAGACTTCATCGTCTGCGTGGCCTCGGTGGCCGTCATCGCTGCGGGCACGCAGGGCAACATCTTCGCCACGTCGGCGCTGCGCAGCATGCGCTTCCTGCAGATCCTGCGCATGGTGCGCATGGACCGGCGCGGCGGCACCTGGAAGCTGCTGGGCTCTGTTGTCTATGCGCACAGCAAGGTGAGGACGTGCGGTCCCGGTGCGGCCCCACACACACAGCCCCCGAGCCCCTCTCACCCCCCGTGCCCCAGCAGGAGCTCATCACCGCCTGGTACATCGGGTTCCTGGTGCTCATCTTCGCCTCCTTCCTTGTCTACCTGGCTGAGAAGGATGCCAATGCCCAGTTTGCCACCTACGCCGACTCCCTGTGGTGGGGCACGGTAAGCTCGGCCGCCACGGCCCCCCAGTGCCGGGAGGGGACGAGGAGGGTGGGATGGGGCTGCGGTGGGGGAGCTCCCTCCAGGCCTCTTCCTGCTCTGCCCCTGGGCAGGTCACCCTCACCACCATTGGCTACGGGGACAAGACACCGCAGACGTGGCTGGGGCGGATGCTGGCGGCCGGCTTCGCCCTGCTCGGCATCTCCTTCTTCGCGCTGCCCGCTGTGAGTAGGGCAGAGAGAGGTCCCTGTGCCTCCAGCCCCACAGAAATGGAGACAAAGGGACCAAATCCACCCCTGTGGTGGGAGCTTCCCCGTCTCTGCTGGCACTCACAGACCCCATTCTTTCCCATCCCCAGGGGATCCTGGGCTCTGGCTTCGCCCTGAAAGTGCAGGAGCAGCATCGGCAGAAGCACTTTGAGAAGAGGAGGACTCCAGCTGCGAACCTGATCCAGGTAGCACAGGGCTGCATATCCCATCCCATCGCATCCCTTCCCGGGGATGCTCCACTCTCCCCCCGCCCCATCTGCTCTGCCTGCCCCTGCCTGCTGCAGGTGGAACCCAAACACTGAACACCAGAGGTGGCTCCTGGGTGCTGGGCTCTGCCTGTGGTGGCCAAGGGATGTGCGGGGCTGGCAGGGGCTCAGGAGCTCTCCTCGCTTCCTGCAGGCTGCCTGGCGCCTGTACTCGACGGACATCAGCCACACGTACCTGACGGCCACCTGGTGTTACTACGATAGCCTCCTGCCCGCCTTCAGGTAGGCAGCGCGGCCGAGGGCTGCAGGTGTCCCAGGGGATCCCTGTGGGGCTATGGGGTGCCCCACAGCCTGGGCACACCCTGCCACGAGGGGCCACGTGCAGCCGCTGAGGGCTCTGTGGGGCGGAGCAGCGTGGTTGGAGCCTCGCTCAGCCCCAGGACACTGGAGCACAGCATCTGCTGAAGTCTGGGGCTCCTCACCAGGGACTGTAGGGGCAGGACAAGGGGTGACGGGTTCAAACAAATAGGGGAAGTTCAGGTTGGAGATAAGGCAGAAGCTCTTCCCTGTGAGGGTGCTGAGGTGCTGGCACGGGGTGCCCAGAGAAGCTGTGGCTGCCCCATCCCTGGCAGTGTTCAAGGCCAGGTTGGACACAGGGGCTTGGAGCAAGCTGCTCTAGTGGAAGGGGTCCCTGCCTGTGACAGGGGCTGGAACTGGATGAGCTTTAAGGCTCCTTTAATACAAAACAGGCTGGGATTCCTTCCTCCATCCTCACCATCCTCCAGGATCCATCCCACCCTTGTCCCCTCTCGCCCCATCCATAGTCTTCCTCCAGCATCACCATAAGGAAGAGGATGGCGCCATGAGACCTCTTGGCTGAGGGAACGGAGCTGCAGCCAGCCAGGAGCTGGCTCTGAGCCTGGCAGCAGAGTAGAGGGACGTGGGGGTCTGGCAGGGAGCCCCATGCCCTGCCCATGTCACCTTCTCCCCTCTTGGGACCCCTGGATTTTGCCTTCATGCTTGAAGATACCCTGTGTGTTCCCATCACATCGAGCTCACCAGGGTCTGCCCCTGCCTGCACGTCCTGCCCCTGCCTGCACATCCTGCCCCTGCCTGCACGTCCTGCCCCTGCCTGCACGTCCCGCCCCTGCCTGCACATCGTGCCCCTGCCTGCACGTCCTGCCCCTGCCTGCACATCCTGCCCCTGCCTGCACGTCCTGCCCCTGCCTGCACATCCTACCCTGCCTGCACGTCCTGCCCCTGCCTGCACATCCTACCCTGCCTGCATGTCCTGCCCCTGCCTGCACGTCCTGCCCCTGCCTGCACATCCTGCCCCTGCCTGCACGTCCTGCCCCTGCCTGCACATCCTGCCCCTGCCTGCACGTCCTGCCCCTGCCTGCACATCCTACCCTGCCTGCACGTCCTGCCCCTGCCTGCACATCCTACCCTGCCTGCACGTCCTGCCCCTGCTGTATCCACGAGCTCCTTCGCAGTGACAGACGTGTTCTGTTTCACTCCATCTGTTCAAGGACAGGCTCTCACCAGCCGCGCGCGCTTCCCTCTGGTCCCAACCCCGGAGATGCGGCTTCCCCAGCACCACTGCGGGGCAATCCCAGTGCGGGCACCACGGGGGCTCCACCGGCCCCTCCCGCTGTGCCAGGGGTTGGGATAGAGCCAGCTCTGAGCTCGCCCCTCCTGGCTGCTCCAGCAGCGCCCAGGCCCCCGGGGCAGGTGGAGGCGAGCCCCGCTGTCCCCGCGCCGTGGCACGGTGTTTGTCCTGCGTGTTCCCTGCCTGACCCATCACTGCCCGCAGCCATCCAGCCCCTCGGGGGGGCTCCCAGCACCCCTGCCCCTGCTCTGTCACCCCAGGAGCCAGCAGCAGCGCTCGGAGCTGTTAAGAAACCGTCTGTCAAAAGAAAAGTGCTGGGTTTTGTTGCTTCTTTTGCCCTGGTTTTGCTTTGGCTCGCAGGCAGCCTGGTGTTGCGCAGCCTGGGTTTGCTCAGCTCCTTTGCTTTGGAAGGTTTAATTTCTCCATGTTTTTATTTAACCCCAACCTCAGAGAACTGGTCCTTATCTTTGAGCATTTGCACCGAGTCCGCAACGGAGGATTTAGGAGTTCAGAGGTGAAAAAGTTGCCGGACGGAGCCCCACCGCCTTATCACCCCTTCACCCCTGGCCAGAAAAGCGCCAGCCCCGCTGCTTGTTCAGGGGACAGGTAGGAGGGTGCAGCCCCAGCCCCGTGTTCTCCCCTCTCTGCCCTCTCTCTGCTCCTCTCTGTCCTCCTGCGGTGCCACCGCGGTGCTCGTCAGCATCAACCCAGAGTCCCGCTCCTGCTGCTGCCTCCGGCGGGGCCGCGCTCGGCCTCCATGGACTCCCCCTGGGCCATGGGGAAGCCTCTCGCGCCGCTCCTCTCCCCCTCGCGGCACCAGGACCCTGCGCAGGGCAGCCCAGAGAGGCTGGAAATGGTCCTGCGGGGGCAGTGCTGTGAGCCCGTGGGGCTGGGGCTGCTGCAGAGCCAGGCGAGAGCAAACCCAGCTCCTCCCGTCCGAGGGGGCTCCCGTGCCTGCAGCAGCCACGCCAAGCTGCTCCAGTGCCAGGAGAACCCAGGCCAGCGTCAGGGTTAGGTGGGGAGAGGCAGGCTTCGTGCCTCGGTTTCCCCTGTGACGATGGAGCAGGGGCTATGGGAGGTCCAGCGAGGTGTGGGGCTGGGGGACCCGGAGCTCCTGCCAGACCCAAGGTGAGTATGGGTTTGTTGGGCTCAGAAGCTGGCAGGGGAGAGACTGAACCCCCCTCAGCCATCCCAGCCGGGGGGGGGGGGGCCAAGCCCCCATCTCCTCTGTGAGCATCACCTCTCACAACATCTCATCTTCTCTCTCTCTCCTCCCCTGCCCTGCTCAACCTCCTCCTCTCCATCCCTCCAACCACCCCAAACCTCCTGTGCCTCCCATTCACCCCCCAAGCTGGAAGGAGGAGGATGTGCAGCCTCACAAGTGCTTACGCCTCAGGTAACGTGCCAGCACCAAATGGCTCTTTGGGAGAGCCCCACTGCTGGGAAACCGGCCCTTCCCCTGCGGGGCAGGCGTTCAGTGTTTATGTAGGACCTACACAAACAGTGTTACTCGTGCTTCTTGCCTCCACAGCACAAGTGGGTACCGTGGCTGGTGCAGTGGGTGATGCGATGCTCACCATGGCAGGCTGGGCCCCTGCACCCATGCACTGGGTCATGCCTGGAGCACTGGGGCCTGGGATGCTTCTGACCAAGGGCTAATTCTTTTCTCCTGTGTCTTTGCCCTGCCCCTCCAGCCCCATCTTTAGTGGCAAGAGGAGGCTCTTGCGGACGTGGGGCACTTGGAGACGGAGGTACAGCATCCTGCATGGTGCCTGTGCTGGCTGCAGGGAGCAGGGGCCAGGGCTTGAGCCAGCAGGGTCAGAGGCTGCAGGCTGATTCTTCTGCATGGCAGAGGGGTCTGTGCATGGCCTGTGCTGAGCTGCCTGTCCCCAGTGTCCCCACATCAACCCCTGCCTCAGTTTCCCCTCCCATGCAGCATGGATGAGCGTGGTCCATTGGCTGTGCTGGGGTTGCCATGGCCATCAACAGGGCACTTGGATAAACTGAATCTCATTTGTCCCCCAGGACACATCCTTCCCATGCTCCGGCATGGATCGCATGACACCCGCTGCAGGGGCTTGTGGCAGCCCTGCCTGGGACCAGCTCACCAGTAACCTGCACTGGGAGTACCCTCCCTTTCCCTCTGACTTGCCCTGGGATTCCTGCCCCTGGAGATGCAGGAGGCTTCCCAAAGGCTCTGGCTTCCTCTGCTCAGGGGCTGTGAATCTGCTTGGCCTCCTTTCATGGCCCAAGGTGTGCCTGTGGTCCTGCATCCTACGAAAGGGAGCTCCAGGTGGTGTTTTTGTGTAGGTCCTCCATAAACGATGCCTGTTTCTTCCCCTGGCTGGACCTGGGAGCAGAACTTGCGTTAGGGCAGGCAGGGGCTGCTCTGCTCGCCCGTTGGAGCAGAGCCTGAATCAGGTGGTGTAGCCAGGAGGAGGATGAGGAGGATGAAGAGGCCTGGCTGGGTGCCTCTGTGCCAACAGGGATGGAGCAGGAGCAGCGCTGCTCCCTGTGGGACGGGCCGGTTGTTCTGCCATTGCTCTGCTGTGTCCTCCCCATCACCGTACCTCTCTGTTCTCTCCTTCCCTCTCTGTGTCTCCTTTCTCTGTTTCTGGGGAGAAAAAAAGGTGTTTCAAGGAGTAACCCCAGAGCCGCTCCTTCATGGGAACACGGCATCACCTGCCCCTAGCCCAGCTCACACCTTGTGCCCATCATGTGCCAGGGACTCTTCATGAGCTCGGCACAGACACCCCCAACCTCACCCCCACCGTGTGGGCACCGGGTATTCCCACAGCAGGGATCCATCCGCTCCTTGCCCTGTCCCCATCCCTGTCCCCCCTCACTGACCTGCCCACCCGGCTCTTCTCGCACAGCAACAGGATGGGCATCAAGGAGCGGATCCGGCTGAGCAGCTCGCAGCGAGGCAGCCGGGGCAGGCAGCACCTCGGGCCCCCCCTGCACCGCTCCCCCAGCACCGAGGACCTCCCTGAGGCCTCCAGCCCCACCAAGGTGCAGAAGAGCTGGAGCTTCAACGACCGGACACGCTTCCGAGCATCCCTGAGGCTCAAGCCGCGGACCACAGTCGAGGGTGAGCCATGGGAGTGGTGGGCTCCACATGTAGATGTGGGGCCATGCAGGGGGGTGCAGGCTTTTCAGGGGGCACAGGGGTCTCTGCAGCCCTCGGTCTCTGCTCCATCCACAGCTGACTGCCCGCTGGAGGACAGCGGCGAGGAGAAGAGCTCCCACTGCGACCTGACCTGCGAGGACATCATGCCAGCCGTGAAGACCCTCATCCGGGCGGTCAGGTGAGGCCATCCCCTCCTGTGTCCCCCAGTGCTTGTGCTGCCATTCCCAGCTGGATGAGTGGATCTGTCCAGAGAGCCCCGGTCCAGCCCATGGTGGTGCCCAAGCCAGGCAGGGAGCAGGGATGGATCCTGGCTCAATCCCAAAGGGGCAGTGGTCAGGACCTTGGTGTTTCGCAAGTGCTCCCCCCCCACCCCAGCATGGACCCGCTGGGGTTCCCCAGAGCCAGCCCCGTGTTCCTGCAGGATCCTGAAGTTCCTGGTGGCCAAAAGGAAGTTCAAGGAGACCTTGCGTCCCTATGACGTCAAGGACGTCATCGAGCAGTACTCGGCCGGTCACCTGGACATGCTGGGCAGGATCAAGAGCCTGCAGACGCGGTGAGCTGCCCTCGAGGCTTGCCTGGGTCACCCATCACTAGTCATGACCATGTCCCCAGAGCCCCTTATGGCCTCATTCCCTCAGTTCCTGCTGGGAGTGATGAGCTGTGCCCCTTCCCTCCCTGCCAGCGTGGACCAGATTGTGGGCAGGGGCACTCTCACTGTGGACAAGAAGGTGCGGGAGAAGGTGGAGAAGCCAGCGCTGGAGACGGAGCTGGTGGACGAGCTCAGCATGATGGGGCGTGTGGTCAAGGTGGAGAGACAGGTCAGGAGGGGGCCACCCCCGGGAGCTTGAAACCATCCCCAGCCGGGACCCCCGTGTCCTTCCTCCATGGGGATGGACCCCCCCAGCTCTGCCCACCCTTGCAGGTACAGTCCATCGAGCACAAGCTGGACCTGCTGCTTGGGCTCTACTCCCAGTGCCTCCGCAAGGGCTCCATCAACTCCTTCAGCCTGGCCGCTGTGCAGGTGCCCCCCTGCGAGCCAGACATCACCTCCGACTACCACAGCCCCGTGGACCACGAGGACATCTCGGTCTCTGCGCAGACCCTCAGCATCTCCAGGTCGGCCAGCACCAACATGGACTGAGCAGGGTGGCAGCAGATGGATCCTGCCATGTGCAGCCTCCGGGATGGGTGCTGGGATGCCCTCACTGCGTTACTTGAACCAAGTCTTCCTCTGTGGGAGCACGGCTGCAGTGGGGCGCCCACACCGGGATGGGCTGGGAGTCAGCAGCTCTGCTCCATGGCCAGACCACACTGCTGGGATGCTCCTGCCCCTCCTCAGGGGTGAGACCCCCAAGCTCCTGGGCCCTTGAGTGCTCCCCAGCCATGGTGGGGATGCTTCAGGCTGAGCCCCATCCAGCTCCTCATCAGGGTCCAGCCTGGTCCCCCAGAGCTGAGCCAGGGTCAGCTCCAGCTATGCAAAGCTCCCTCTCCCTCCTGCTACTGGGACCGAGAAGGGATGTTGAGGCAAGACCCATTGTGGTTTTACCTGTGTCAGGACTGTGTCAGGCCCCCCTCAGGCTGGGTAACAGGGGTCTGCCCCCTTCACCCTCCTCTGCCTGGGTTGTTTCTCTGCTTGCAGCTCTGGCTGCACCTCTAGAAGCACAGCAGAGCCTTCTGCCTGCCCGTGCATGCTCCCAGGGCAATATATATATAGATGACATATATATATTTATGCAATAATGTCTTAATATGCAATATCCCCGGGAAGAGCAACCCATGGGGCTCATAGGCAATAAGCAACTCCCTCCACCGGCACACAGGGCTGGATCCTGCTGCCCACGGGGGCTCAGGGCTGGGCAGAGGCTGTGGAGGAGGAAGGGATGCAGCACAGGCAATGGGGACAGTGGTCCCAAAGAGCCATCTCTCCCTCTTGTATCCCAGACCCTATTCCTGCTTAGAGGATTCCTTCCCTGTCTGGTCCTCCAGTGCTCTCCATATCCCCATCCCTTCTATGGACTGAGAGGCACAGATCAGCTGGGGAGCTGTTGTCCATGACTCCTGTCATGCCCTGACCCCAGAGCCGGGGCCCGTTTCCAGCCCTGCAGGATCATGGTAGTGCCAAAGTTTGCTGAGCTGGGGCAGCCGGGGGTCCCGGGGGGCTCGGTGGTGGCCATCCCCTTGCTGCCAGTGCAGCCCTCTCTGGGCTTTGCACCATGGGATTTGCACCCCCTTACCCAGCCCCCCTGTGCCTCTGCTCCTGCACTGGGGAACCCCGAACCCTGCTCGTTTCTCTGCCTTGTCAGTGCATGCGGCCAGAGCCACCTGCAGCCTCCCCAGTGCTCCCATGCCACCCTGGCCCCGTCCTCTCGCCCCGGTCGGTGGGGCAGCGGTGCTGTGGGGGCACAAGGGGCTGGTTGGGTGCCACGGGTGGGTTGGTGTGGGTGCTATGGGTGCATGCGCACGCAGCAGCTGACCGGGTGGGTTAAGTGTGGCGGGTGCCCGCAGCCCTCCCCGCGTGCCGTTACCTCACTTGATTAACTCGTTAACGGATTGGTTTCATTAAAGCCTGGAGCAGGGGCCGCGCCGCCCGCGTCTCTGTCGCGGCTCCCCCGGGAGGTGGCACTCCAGCCCCGCCACCGAGCACCGCGGCCACGGGCCCTGACCGTCCGGCCACCACAATGACGCCCCCCGGGTTCGCCCTGAGCCCCCCGACATGAGAACGGGTCCCCGACTCCGGCTCAATCCCCACATCCACGGCGCTGCGTGCCTGTGGCTGCAGGCGCGATGCCGCGGCAGAGGGGCTGATGCCCTGCGGTTGGACCCCCTGAGAGGGTCGCTGTGTCCCATCTGCCTCTTTAGAAGTGTCGCAGTGTGTCCCCAAGGGGGGATGGTGCTGCCACAGGACCACGGAGGGGTGGGGGGTGCGGCCCCCTTACCCAGGACCCCACAACCCCTCAAGGGACCACAAAGCCTTCACCCCATCCCTGTGCGCTGGCGGTCGTGGGGACAATGTGAGCCCCAGCCTGCAAGTGTCGGGGGTTCGAGGTGGCCCCTTCCCGCGCCGCCCTGCCCCGGTGCTGGCCGGGGAGGAAGCCGGGGCCGGCCGCAGGTCGGTCCTGCCTTTCCTGGCTGCTTCTTGCCAACAAACTCAGCGCTGGCTCGGAGCACTGTGGGGGCCAGCGCCTCCCTGCCCTGGCCCCACTTCCCCCAGCACTGCCCCAGCCTGCTGGGATGGGGGCTTTGGGGTGACTCCGGTCCCCTGGACCCTCTGGGTGATCCCTGGGGATCCTTGACGCTGCGCACCTCCTGCTTACGCTGCTTTGAAGCAGAGGCTTTGAAGGGGGAGCCAGGATGCAGCAGGAAAGCCCCGTGTGAGCAAACTGCCCGGCTCCCTGGCCTGATCGGTGGCTTTCCAGGGTGGGTTTGGAGGGTTCGTGCACGGGGTTGTGCATCGCTGGGGTGCTCACCTTGCGCTGTGCAATGGTGCGGCTCAGTGCGTCCCTGCTGCTCCATGGGGCATCCAGGACCAACCCACCTGGCTCTGGGCTCTTTCCACATCTCCATGCAGAGGTGGGACCTGCTCTCCTGCAGAGCACAGGCAGCAGGGGTGAGGGCAGGACAGGCACGATGCCAACCCACAGCTCCTTCCTCTGCTTCCTGCAGCCACGTGAGCCCAAGGTGCCCCACCTGGACTTTGCCCTCGTCCACCTTGGCTGCCCCACGTGTGCCAGAGGCTGGCACTCCCCGAAGCATGGCCACGCAGTGGGGGAGATGTTGGCATCAGAGAAGGCAGCAAACTGTGACCCCGTAGTGCTGCATCACTGCGTCCCACCAGGAGCCACACTTGGCATGCAGAGCATGGTGCAGGAAGCAAAGGGGGGTCACAAGCACTTGGACTGTTGCTGCTCTCGCTGCCACTCACGAGCCCCTATCTGCTGTGGGGGGAATGGGGGCTGCAATGGGAAGGGGCCAGCTCTGCTGGCAGCACCCCACGGCATCCTCAGCCGCTGCCAGGGAGCTGCCTGGCAGCAGCACAAGGACCCGGAGCAGAAGCTGGGGATGTCCTTTTAGCCAGTGGCTCTGCTTTGTTCCCTGAGGGTCTTGGGGAATTTGTGACTCACTGAATTCCTGGCAGTCCAGTCATGGAGACAGCCGGACTCCGGGCTGGACCCAGTTCCTTCCTGAGGCACTCCAGAGCCCTCGAGCTCAAGCTCCAGCCCAAGGCCACACTTCCAGGAAAAGCCCTTTTGAGAACAACAGCCGAGGAGCTGGGCAGGGGTCTCTGGATGTGGCTCTTGCAGGACCCTTGTCTGGGCACTCAGAGCACCCTGGGGTCCCTGGCAGCTCTCATGCCCAGTGGGATGTGGTGCTCCCTGTATATGGGGTCTTGGGGTGCAAGCACACCCTGATGAGTCCCAGCATCCTCCCCACAGGCTGCAGATGGGAACCAGGAGGAATCCCTCGGCAGAGCTGGGAGATGCTCCTTGTGGGGCAGAGACAAGGCAAGAGCCCTGGGGTGGGCATCTGAAGCGCTGCAGTGAGCGCTGGGCCTGCAGGGGAAACCAGGACCTGTGGGGTGGCCAAGACCCCCATTCCCAGGTCCTCAGCACCTCGACGTGGGGCTGAATCCAAGAGACACCGACTCCGTGCCCTGGGCGGCGATGGGGTGTCCCTCTGTCTGCATCCCTCCCTGTGTCACTTGCATCCACCGACCACCTGCAGCTGGGGTGCTGCGAGGGGCGAGGGGCTCCCCTCGCTCCCCTCCACGTCCCAGGCAGCAGAGGGACCCCGCTGGGTGCCACCGGGGCTGCCGGGACCCCCCCAGTTTGTGAAGGCGCGGGGCTGGGAGCAGGACCCGGGGAACCCCGGTCCGCAGGGCAGGAGGTGCCGCTGGGTACCCCGGCGGGGGGGTCGGGGCCGCGCTTCTCTCTCCCGCCCGCCCCGACCGGAGCCCGGAGCCCGGAGCCCCGAGCCCGACCCTCGCCCCGCCCGGGGAGGGGCAGCGCGGCCCGGCCGACGGCGGCTGCCCCGGCGCCTCCCCGCTCCCCCCGGCCGGGGCGCGGTTATAAGGAGCGGCGGGGCCGGGGCACGCGCTCGGCGGAGGCGGCGCGGGAGCGGCAGGTACGGGACGGGACGGGGCTGGGTGCGAAGGGAAGGTTCCCCCCGCACTTGGGGACCGGGGTTAGGGCTGGACCGGTGCCGGGGTTTGGAGCCGGGTATCCCCCCCGGGTGCCCAGGGCAGCCCCTTCCCGATGGATTTTGCTTTTGGAGCAGAGGGGGTTAAGGGGCGTGGGAGGGCTCAGGGCCCCCCGAAGGGCACCAGGGGGGAGCGGTGTTTTGGGTGCCCAGAGCCACTTCGGTCTCACGGGGAGTTAACAAACGTGAACCGTGGAGCGTCCCGGGGGAGAGCAGGGCTGGGGCGAGGTGGGCAGCGCTCTGGGGTGGGTCTCAGCAGGATGGGGCTGGTGTCGGTGCGGAGATCCCCTGCGTGCTCACTGCCCTCCCTCTGCAGCGGCTGCAGGTTGGGGACACTCTTGGCACCATGCGGGCCCTGCTCTGCCTCTGGCTGCTGGCCCAGGCGTCCCGGGCTTCCCGGGTGCGCACCCGCCGGGAGCTGGCCCCCGGCCTCTACGAGCACGGGGTCTATGATGCCGGAGGGTCCTACTGCCAGCGGGGGGACGTGTGCTGCCACGGCCGCGACGACGCCTGCACCGTGCCCTACCACGACACCCTCTGCTACTGCGACCTCTTCTGCAACAGAACAGTGTCCGACTGCTGCCCCGACTTCTGGGAGTACTGCCTGGGCATCCCGCCCCCCTTCCCCAAAGCTCCGGGTGAGGCAGCCCCTGGTCCAGCCGGGCAGGGGGCTCTGGGTGACAGGTCCCTTGTGCTGTGTGATGCTGCTGGGGTCATGGATGTGGCTGGATATGGAAACCCATGGCCCTGTCCTCGCTGCAGGGTTGCTCTGGACCTATGGGGGGGGGGGGGGGTGTCCCAGAAATGGGTCTGGGAGCAGCCCATGGCCCCACAGCACGTCCCCCGTGCCTCCCCACAGCACGGGCTGTGGGGGTCAGAGGGGCAGCTCCAACCGCACATACCTGTGGGGAGAGCAGGGGTATGGGGGGACACATCCCCGGTCATGTCTGGGGCAAGCAGATGCTGGCCCTGACTTAACCCCTCCGGCAGCTGGATGGGGGCGAGAGGGGGGCACGTGCAGCCCCCCCGTGCATGACAAGGCTTTCTAAGAAGTCCCTGCGGAGCAGCGCCAGCTCCCGGGCACAACTGGCCCCTTTATCCCTGTCCCGCCAGGCTGTGCTCCGCAGCCCCATGGTTAACCCTCCCATTGCCGAGCCACCCCTGCGCCGTGGGGCACGAGCTGGTCCCCATCACAGGTGTGGAGGTGCCGAGATGCACCCAGGAACCTGCCTGGCTCTAAGGACCTCATTTATTTTCCCCTCGGTATTTACCTCCTGGAGCCCTGGGGGTGCTGGTGCCAAGTGCTCACTGGGGCTCCCCCTTTTCCCATCCAGGCTGTGCCCGTGCTGGCCGCAGTTATCCCACCGGAGCCACGTACCGGGAGAACTGCAACCTGTGGTGAGTGCCCCGGTGCTGCCGGTGCTGCGGCACCACTGCCTGCCCTCCGGAAGGGCGTCGGGGGGCCCGAGCTGGGTGGCGGGCGCCGGTGCCAAGTGCTTTGCTCCAGCATATTCCAAGCAGAGAGCCCGGGGCCTTGAGCCGCTCCCATGTTCCAGTGCTTGGCCTGGTGGAGCGTGGCGGGGCTGGCTGCGGGCTGCCGGGGCTTCTCTGGCCGCGCAGGTCCGAGCCCAGCTTGCCCAAGCCTGACGGGACGTGCCTGCGCGGCCAGAGCCCGGCGCCGCTGCAGCCATCGCACCCGTGCTGCGTGCCAGGAGCTCGCTGTTTGCGTTATCCAGAGCTTGGGGTTTATCTGGGAATGGTATTAATGGCATCCTGGAGGTGGGGGAGAGGGGAACCGGCGGGGAGCAGCCCCAGCGGCTGCCTCGCAGCGATGCAGCAGATAAGGGGAATGAAAGGCTCCATGTGGGGCATGTGTGAGGGCACGAGCACGTGTGTGGGCATGTGTGGGCAGGCGTGTGCGCCGGAGCTGCAGGTGAAAAGCCAGCCCGACCCCTCCATGAAGCTCTGGTGCTGCCTGGGGTTTCTCCAGGACCATGGGGCAGAGGTTTGTGGGGCTGGAGAACGACCCAAAGCCTCGGGGAAGGTGGAGGTCCCCAGGCTGTGCACTGGCAAGAATGCTGCATCCCATCCTCACCAGCGCTGCCCTGGGGGGCTGAGGCTCTGCTCCCAAATCCTTCCCCCGCACTTGGCACATGGAGAGCAGCAGTTCCAGGAGTGCTTCACCCCAGACCTTATCCCTGCCTGGCTCCTGCGGGATCTAGGGGCTGTCAAGGGGGCAGTGTGAAGCCGAGGGAGGTGCTGTGGGCACCCAGCCGGCTGCACCCTGAGGTGCTCCCGTGCAGTCCCCAGTGCCGGGGCTGGGAGGGGATGGGGTGAATGGGGTGCAGGTGCCGTGGGTGGGATCAGGGCTCGGCTGCCGGGACACGGCCTGGAGGGCTCCTTAAAAGGGAAGAGCGTGGCGGGAAGCTGGCGGGGCCGCGGGAGCGTGCCAGGCATTGCTCGCAGTGCGGGGGGAGCGCGGCCCCGCACCCGGCACTGCCCCCCCCCCCCCCGCGGGGCTCCCCATGGGGCACAAACAGCTCCTCCGGGGGGGCACCTCCAGCCCCAACCCCCCCCCCCCGCCCCGGGCTGGTGTCCAAGCGGCTGCAGCCCTGGCTGCTTTACAGCGCGCTCTGTCCCATGCTCCGGCTGCCCTCTGGGACTGTCCCCAGGGCCTCGCCAAGGGCTGTCCCTGGCCCAGCTTCACCCCGTCCCGTGGTGCTGAGCCACGGCGTGACCTCCAAACCCCCACTGGCTGCCCTCAAGAGCGGAAAGTGCCTGGTTTGGGAGCACCAACACCCATTCAGCCCCCCCCAGTCACCCCAAGGACATCATCCCTCCCCATCTGTCCTCTCTGGTGCCATCCCCTCTGCAGCACCTGCAGCCCCGGCGGGCAGTGGCAGTGCGAGGACCACGCATGCCTGATGGACGGGGAGCTGATCGACGCCGTCAACAGGGGCAATTATGGGTAAGGAGCAGGCACCGGAGGGTGAGGAGGGGCTGCCTCCCCCCTCAGTGCTTCTCGGGGCACCCCTGAGCCATGTCCCGTCCTCCCCTGCAGCTGGAGAGCCACCAACTACAGCCAGTTCTGGGGCATGACCCTGGAGGATGGGATCCAGCGCCGCTTGGGCACCTTCCGGCCCTCTCCCACCGTCATGAACATGAACGAGATGCAGGTGAGTCCCCGCGGGTGCTCGGGAAGCAGAGGCATGCCAGGGCTCGACGCAGAGATTCAGCATCCCCTTGGCTGGGTGATGTCCCCACTGTGTCCCCTGTCCTGGGAAGGGGCTGTGCCGGGTGGGTGCCACAGGCAGCCCTTGTGTTTGGAGACAGCAGCTCAGCACATTCCCCCTGACAATCCCTGCGCTGCCAGTGTTGTTTTTTCCCCTTCTCCTCCGTACTGGTTTCCCATCGGAAAGCCAGCCCCATAGTGCTGAGTCAGCAGAACCGGCTGCACCAGCGCACTGCGAGTGGGGTGCCTCTGACTGCATCCGAACCCAGCTCCCGTTTGAGGTGGGCAGCATGTGGGGCCGTGGGTGCTGGTGGGGGGCAGGCACCGCGCACGCCCAGAGCCGGGGCCTTGAGGTTTAATTTTAGAGGCGCTTCCTGTGCTGGGATACGCCGGGGCCGTGGCCGCATCCTCCCCAGGAGCGGAAAGGCTGGGCCTGAGTCAACGGCCAGAGGCCACAATGAGGGGCTCAGGACACCCAGTGCCGTGCACTTGTTGGTGCATGAGACCAGACACTTGGTGCTGGTGTCACATAAGAAGCCGCTGGGGCTGAAGAACCTGAGTTTAGGGAAAGTTGAGGGATTCACCTCCCCTGGAACACCAAAATCCCGGTCATATTTGGCTGGGTCTCTGGGTATCCCCATCCTGAGGGGTCCTACAGGGGGTCACAGGGATGATGATGCTGGCTGGGGACCCTGAGAGGGAGTCCTGGGATGCTGGGAGCAGGAGAAATAGAGGGGAGGGTCCCTGTGTGGTGAGAGCCCCTCCACTCTGGCTCCCATAGATGAACATGGACTCCAATGAGGTGCTGCCTCGCCACTTCGATGCAGCTGCAAAGTGGCCTGGGATGATCCATGAGCCCCTGGACCAGGGCAACTGCGCCGGCTCCTGGGCCTTCTCCACGGCGGGTGAGATGGGGTGGGATGGGGCAGTCGGTGGGGACAGAGCCCTGCTGTGGGGCTGCGGGCAGGGCAGGAGCCAGGGGAGCAGCTGAACCTCCCTGACCCCTGCTCGCTCCCAGCCGTCGCCTCGGACCGCATCTCCATCCACTCCATGGGACACATGACACCCGCCCTGTCACCCCAAAACCTCCTGTCCTGCGACACCCGCAACCAGCGGGGCTGCAGCGGGGGGCGGCTGGATGGCGCCTGGTGGTACCTGCGCAGGCGAGGGTGAGTGGGGATGGGATGGGGCAGGGTGATGGGATGGGATAAGGAGCTTCAAGGCTCTGGTTACCTGTGGAGAGCCCAGGGCTGCTCCATGCACATCCTGCCCCTGGTACCAGCGGGAAGCAAGGTGCCCAGGTGGGGTGGAGAGCGGCTTTTGGGGATGCGGATGGAGCCGACTGGTTCATCCCCTCCTTGTGCTTGTCCCTGCGCCCAGGGTGGTGACGGATGAGTGCTACCCCTTCACCAGCCAGGAGAGCCGCCCGGCCGCTCAGCCCTGCATGATGCACAGCCGCTCCACGGGCCGGGGCAAGCGGCAGGCGACCGCTCACTGCCCCAACCCGCAGACCCACGCCAACGAGATCTACCAGTCCACCCCTGCCTACCGCCTCTCCTCCAGTGTGAGTGCCCGCGGGGAGCGGGATGGGGCTTGGCCCAGGGTGGTTTCCTTGGGAAAGCCAAGGCTGGAAATGAAGCTGGGAAAACCCCACTGCGGAGACCCTGGAGCAGCTGCTCCTCCACCAGCACCTCCACAGCACCCACCCATGGGTGCCTGCGGGCCCTGTGCTGGGCTGCACCCCCAGAGCATGAGCAGCAGCTCAGGGAGGGGATCCTGCCCCTCTGCTGTGCTCTGAGGAGACCCCCCTGCAGCCCTGATCCAGCTCTGGGACAGCATCACAAGAGGGACCTGGAGCAAGGCCAGAGGAGGCCATGGAGCTGCTGTGAGGGCTGGAGCAGCTCTGCTCTGGAGCCAGGCTGAGAGAGCTGGGCTGGGGCAGCCTGGAGAAGGCTCCTGAAGGGGAGACCTGAGAGCAGCTCCAGTGCCTGAAGGGGCTGCCGGAAACCTGGAGAGGGGCTTGGGACAAGGGATGTAGGGACAGGGCAAGGGGAATGGCTTGAACCTGCCAGAGGGGAGACTGAGATGAGCTCTTAGGCAGAAGCTCTTCCCTGTGAGGGTGCTGAGGCGCTGGCACAGGGTGCCCAGAGAAGCTGTGGCTGCCCCATCCCTGGCAGTGTTCAAGGGCAGGTTGGACACAGGGGCTTGGAGCAAGCTGCTCCAGTGGAAGGGGTCCCTGCCCGTGGTTGAATGGGCTTTAAGGTCCCTTCCAACCCAAACCATTCCATGCTTCTCTGATCCCCAGGGGGTGGGAAGGGCAGTGCTGGGGTCCTGGCCCTGGCACCATCCCAGCTCTGTGCTTGCAGGAGAAGGAGATCATGAAGGAGCTGCTGGAAAATGGTCCTGTGCAAGGTAAGGGGCCGTGTGCCCCAGAGCTGGCGCCGCAGTGGCTGGGGGGTGAGGGGGGATGAACCGCTCTGCCCGGGACCGGCCTCCCCCCTCAGCTCCTCCCCTGCTCAGTGCTACCCCGTGCTCCCGCGGCCCTTTCTCGCTGCCCGCACCTGCGCTTGGTGCTCATTAACCCCAGGGGTTTAATCTCTGCCTTGGCACCTGGGTTTGGTTTATTTCATGGCGTTAATCCTCCTCCGAGTCCGGTCACATCCCCGCGGGGCATCCGGCCCCTGCCCTCCCTCCTGCCGGGTAACCCCCGTGTCCCTGGTGCCCGCATCCTTCTTCCTGAGGCACTTGGAGCCCCGGGATCTCGGCACCCGCTCCCTCAGGACGGGTCCCAGCCCTCTCCCCCTTCCTGCAGCCATCCTGGAGGTGCACGAGGATTTCTTCATGTACAAGAGCGGGATCTATCGGCACACGCCGGTGGCCGAGGGGAAGGGGCCGAAGCACCAGAGGCACGGGACCCACTCCGTTAAAATCACTGGGTAGGTGGGGGGTGTCCCCTTGCTCCGGGCAGGGAGAGGAAGCGGGAGGGGAAGGAGGGTGCAGGGTGCGAGGGGGGGGCACAGGAGCCACGAGTGTGCAGTGCTCAGCACGTGCAGAGGGAGGAGGGTTGGAGAGGCAGATTCCAGCAGCTTCCTTCCTGCTCCCCGTGGCTAAATGTACCTGCCTGTATTCTGTACCTTGTGCGGGCCCGCAGGGAGGTGCCAAGGCTGGGAAGGGAGTGGGGTGAGCACAGCACCCCGCTATCATGGTGCTGGATGAGGTGATGCCCGCAGTATGGGGCTCATGGGGAGGACCCCCTTTCACCGCCCTCCTCTCCTCCTACAGGTGGGGAGAAGAGCAGCTTCCCGATGGCCAGACCCAGAAATACTGGGTGAGTGCTTGTGGGTGCCACGAGTGTGCCGGGGCTCAGCCACTGGGGTCGTGGGGGGGGGGCTGCAGGAGCGGGGATCCGGCTCCTTGGGGTCTGGCTGAGCCGTGTCCCCCCCGCAGACCGCAGCCAACTCCTGGGGCACAGCGTGGGGAGAGGGCGGCCACTTCCGCATCGCCCGCGGCGTCAACGAGTGCGAGGTGGAGACCTTTGTGGTGGGGGTGTGGGGCCGGGTCAGCGTGGAGGACATGCCCCACAAGTGAGCTCCGCGCCGCCACCGCCTTCCCCCGGCCCCACCATGGTCCAGCAGCGCAGCCCCTCCGTCCCGTGCTGGGGACCCCCCCAGTACCGCGGGGCGGGGGGCGAGCCCAGATTGTCCCCTGGGTCCTCGCTGTGCTGACGCAGCGGCTGGGTGCAGTGGGGCATGCACGGGGCATGCGGCCGGGGGTGCCGCAGGGGCTGCTCCTGCATCCCGTGGGATTTACCCACTAATCCCCCTGCCCTGGGCTCCGCTGGGCTTTGGTGCAGCTGGGGGCCCTTCAAAGGTGGCTTCATCCTCCTCTTCCTCCTCCCAGACCTGGCTGGGGAGCGCTGCAGTGGGACCGCAGGGCTCCTGCACCCCTGCATCTGCCCACCTCCCCGCTCCCCTCATCCAGGGGCTGAGGGAGAAAAATAACTCCCGGGGGACCCCCAGGGCCGGGGGTCAGGATGGGGTGTTCACCGTCCCCTCTGCCTGTCCCTATGGTGCTATGGCCCCTGCCACCTCCTTTGGGGACAGGAGAGGGCTCAGCCCTCTTGTGTCCCTCTGCTGCTGGGGCCACAATTGGGGACCATGCAGCAACACAGCCCCAGTCCCTCCCCCCCACCCCCTGCTCCTTCCTCCCTGCCCCGGGTTGGACTTTTAAGACTTTTTTTTTGTATTTATTTTGCTTTTTACTATTTGTAAATAAAGCACCTGAACCCTCCGTGCCCCGGCTCTGCTCCTGCCCCAGCGCTATTGGGACACGCATGGCACTGCTGGCCTCTGCCTGCCCCATGCCGGGGGGAGGGACACGGGCCCCAGGAAGGGCTGTGGGGTGAGATAAGTCCCTGCTCATTGTGCTGCCTTCCGGCCCCACCGGCTGCCTGTGACTGCGGCCAGCGCCGGGCCTGCCATGGGCACACGCAGCCACACTGTCTGCTGCAGCTGCCACCGCAGTCACCCCATGGCCACCAGTGCCACCAGTGCTATGCAGCCAGATGGGCCACCGCAGCCAGATGGGCCACCGCAGCCAGGTGGGCCACTGTCGCCACCCTGGCCATCACAGCCACCCTGTCCACCAGAGCCAGGCATCCCAGTGCAGGCAGAAGTGCCCCCGCAGCCAACTGTGCCACCCTGCCCGCTGCATCCAGATGTGCAAACACCGCCAGATGTGCTACCGCATCCACATGTGGCAGCGCAGCCTCGCAGCCGGCACTGCGGGGCGGGGGGGGGGGGGATGGGGGGTGTTATTTTTTAGAATTTGTTTATTTTCTGCGTTTCCCCCCGATTCTTTCCGTGCCCCCTCAGAGCGCCCCCAGCCCGCGGGCAGCACGCACAGGGTGGAGTGGGGCGCCACCTGGTGGGCACAGGCCGCACCGGAGCGGGCAGGCGCAAAACCGCCCGGACCGGCTTTGGGGATGCTTATACACACATATACACGTTATGCACACACATATACACGTTATACACACATATACACACATATACACGTTATACACGCACATATGCACGTTATACACACACATATACACACATATACACGTTATACACACACATATACACGTTATACACACACATATACACGTTATACACACATATACACACATATACACGTTATGCACACACATACACACACATATACACGTTATACACACACATATACACGTTATACAAACATATACACACACATATACACACATATACACGTTATACACACACATATACACACATATACACGCACCTATGCACGTTATACACACACATATACACATTATACACACACATATACACACAAATACACGTTATACACACACATATACACACATATACACATTATACACACACATATACATGTTATACACACACATATGCACGTTATACACACACATATATATACATGTTATACACACACATATACATGTTATACACACACATATACACACATATACACGTTATACACACACATATACACACATATAAATGTTATACACACATATATACACACATAGACACGTTATACACACACATTTACACACATATACACGTTATACACACACATTTACACACATACACACGTTATACACACACATATACACACATATACACGTTATACACACACATATACACGTTATACATGTTATACACACACATATACATGTTATACACACACATATACACGTTATACACACACATATACATTATATACACACATATACACACACATATACACGTTATACACACACATATACACGTTATACACGCACATATACACGTTATACACACACATATACACACAAATACACATTATACACACACATACACACGTTATACACACATATACACGTTATACACACGCATATACACACATATACACGTTATACACACACATATACATGTTATACACACACATATACACATTATACACACATAGACACATTATACACACATATACACGTTATACACACGCATATACATGTTACGCACACACATATACACGTTATACACACATAGACACATTATACACACATATACACGTTATACACACACATATACACACATACACACATATGCATGTTACGCACACACATATACACGTTATACACATATATACACATTATGCACACACATATACACATTATACACACATACACATTATACACATATACACATTGTGCACTCATATACACATTATACACATATACACATTGTACACACATACACACATTGTGCACGCATATAAACATTGTACTCACACACGTTGTATACACACATATACACACATTATGTACACACACACATATAAGCACATACATATATTCATATACATATGCGCATGCATATACACATGAATATACTTATATACATATACACATACATGCATTTTCATGAACAGATGCTGCTGGGGCTATATACACACACACAAACTGTTGGTGTTTTATGTGTATATATATATATATGTATGTACGCACATGAACAGAGTGATTTTTTTTCAATATTTATATATACACACACATACACACACGTTAACAGACACTGATGGGTTTTTTATATATATATGCACAAACACAAACAGTGATGGGGTTTTATATATATATATACACACATGCACACACACTGATGCGGGTTTTTTTATCTATATATATCCACAAACACAGACAGTGATGGGGTTTTATATACGTATATATATACACACATGCACACACACTGATGTGAGGTTTTATATATATATACACACAGACACACACTGATGGGGATTTTTTTATATATATGCACACATACTGATGCTGTTTTTTTAATATATGTGTATATATATACACACACTGATGGGATGGTTTTATATATATATATACAAACACACACACTGATGCAGGGGTTTTCTATACATACACACACACTGATGCAGGGTTTTTTTATGTATATACATATATACACACAAACACCGATGCAGGGTTTTTTTATATATATATACACACACATACACACACACACTGATAGGGGTTTTTATATATATATAGACTGATAGGCTTTTTTTTAATCTATATATACAAACACAGTCAGTGATGGGGGTTTTATATATATCTACACACATATATATGCACGCACACTAACAGACACTGATGGGGATTTTATATATATATTATATATATTTATATTTTGTTTATATTATTTTATATTATATATATTTATTTTTATACATACATACATACAGTGTGATGGCTTTTTTTTTAATATATCTATATACACACACACTAACAGATACTGATGTGGTGGGGTTTTTATATTACATATATAAACAAACACAGTCAATGATGGGGTTTTTATATATATCTACACACACATGCACACACACACTAACAGACTGCTGGAATTTTATATGTGGATATATAAACATAAACATATAAACACACATAAACTCAACCACACACAGGGACACACTGACCAACACTGTGGAGTTTTTATAGGTATATACACAAACTAAAAGGCACTGCTTTTTATCTAGTTACACACATACATACACACACTGCTGGGTTTTTGTTTAATATAGATATGTAAGTGTGTATATGTATTCACGGACTCTAACAGATACTGTTAGTGCCAGGGTTTGGTTTTTTTTTAGATTTAATTATTTTTTATATATCTCTCTATATATGAAAACACAGGCTTTAATCTATCTATAGATAAATACATATATGCATGCTTTATACACACAGAGAACAGTGTGATTTGAAACAGCACTGTCTGTGCACTTTGTGTAGCTCTGGGTGTGTATACTCTGTGTGTGCATATATATATATATATATATATATATATATATATATATATATATATATATAAAACCCCAGCACTGTGTGTATATACATGAAAATAAACTCCCAACAGTGTCTGTGTGTGTATAGATGTGCATGTATATATATGTGTATCTATATATGTGTATATGTTTATGTATAGATATCCCCCAGACCCCCTTGGTGCCCCAGTTTCCCTGTTCCCCCCCCGAGTTGAGCCAAGCTGAGCCATGCGGTAAAAATTCTGTCCCTGCCCATGGCAGGGGTGTGGAACTGGATGATCTTGAGGTCCTTTCCAACCTTAACTAGTCTGTGATTCCATGATTATACCCACATGTACACATTATACACGGATACACACATTGTACATGCATATACACACATTATACACACATATACACACATTGTACACGCATATACACACATTATACACACATGTACACTCATTATACACAGATACACACATTGTACACACTTATACACACATATACACACATTATACACACATGTACTCTCATTATACACAGATACACACATTGTACATGCATATACACACATTATACACACATATACACACATTGTACACGCATATACACACATTATACACACATGTACACTCATTATACACAGATACACACATTGTACACACTTATACACACATATACACACATTATACACACATGTACTCTCATTATACACAGATACACACATTGTACACGCATATACACACATTATACACAGATGTACACTCATTATACACCGATACACACATTGTACACGCATATACACACATTATACGCACGTACACTCATTATACACAGATACATTGTACACAAACATATACACACATATGCACACATTATGCACACACACATACACATATAAGCACATACATATATTCATATACATATGCACATGCACATACGTAGGCACATACACATACATAAACACATACACATACACAAAAACATACGCATACATATATACATATACATATACATATACACACATGCACTTTCATGAACAGATGCTGCTGGGGCTATATACACGCACGAACAGTGTTGGTGTTTTATGTGTATATATATGTATGTACACACATGAACAGAGTGATTTTTTTTTAATATTTATATACACACACACGTTAACAGACACTGATGGGTTTTTTATTTACATATATGCACAAACACAGACAGTGATGGGGTTTTATATATATATATATATACACACATGCACACACACTGATGCAGGGTTTTTTATATATATACACACACACTGATGCAGGGGTTTTATAGATATGTATACACGCACAGAAACACACTGATGGGGATTTTTTTATGTATATACATACACTGATGGTGGGGGGGGTTTAATTTATATATACACGCACACACTGATGCGGGATTTTTATATACATATATACACGCACACACACTGATAG